GTGATGGAATTCTTGGTCCCCTCGATTTGACAGACTTTCAAGTCTATGTTGAGTGCATAAAGGGGAAACGGACAAACACAAGAAAATTAGGTGCCGACAGGGCTACAGACGTCTTAGAACTTATTCATACAGATATATGTGGACCATTCCCTACAGCTTCATGGAATGGTCAACAATACTTCATTACGTTCATAGATGATTATTCAAGATACGGTTACCTATACTTAATACATGAGAAGTCACAGTCAGTGGACATTTTCAAGGAATTCAAAGCCGAAGTTGAACTTCAACTAGGCAAGAAAATTAAGGCTGTCAAATCAGATCGTGGTGGCGAATACTACAGCAGATATGACGGATCAGGTGAACAACATCCAAGACCATTCGCTATCTTCCGAAAAGAATGTGGAATCATCCCGCAATACACAATGCCAAGCAAACCTATCATGAATGGTGTTGCTGAGAGAAGAACATAACTCTTAAAGACATGGTGAGAAGCATGATTAGTCATTCTTCCTTGCCTGAATCACTTTGGAGAGAAGCACTAAAGACTGCAATTTATATCCTTAACAGGGTTCCAAGCAAAGCAGTGGCCAAAACCCCTTATGAACTATGGACTGAAAAGAAGCCCAGTATTAGGCATTTACATGTTTGGGGTTGTCGAGCTGAGGCAAGGCCTTATAGGCCAAATGAACAAAAATTAGACTCAAGAACGGTCAGCTGCTACTTTGTTGGATATACCGAACGCTCTCGAGGCTTCAAGTTTTACAATCTTACTACTAGGTCTTTCTTCGAGACGGAAAATGTGAGATTCCTTGAGGATGTCGAGTTTAGGGGAGAAGATAAAGTAAGGAGTGTTGTCTTTGAGGAAGAATATTTCATTTCTCTTCCCAATGTTGCTATGTAAATGACCAGGTTGTAATACCTGTCATTGTTCAAGACGCAACTCTAGAACAAGACAACAATGAGGTTCCCCATGCAGCACCTATAGAGCAAACTCAACAACCTCAAGAAGTGCCATTAAGGAGATCCACTAGAGAAAGGAGAAGTGCGATTCCAGATAATTATATCATATTTTTCCAAGAACATGAAGATGGTGTAGGCTTAGGGGAAGATGATCCTATTAACTTCCAACAAGCCTTACAGAGTTCTAATAGTCAAAAGTGGATTGATGCTATGAATGATGAGATGAAATCTATGAAAGATAATGACGTTTGGGATCTTGTCGAGTTGCCTAACGGAACGAAACCCATAGGTTGTAAATGGATATTTAAGACTAAAAGGGATTCGAAAGGTAACATCAAAAGATAGAAGGCTCGTCTAGTCGCCAAAAGATTCACTCAGAAGGAAGGCATAAACTACAAAGAGACTTTCTCTCCAGTTTCTTCGAAAGACACTTTTAGGACAGTTATGGCACTTGTGCCTCATTTAGACTTAGAGCTACATCAAATGGATGTTAAGACATCGTTTCTCAATGGCGACATTGATGAGACGATTTATATGGTCCAGCCAGAAAACTTTGTATCTGGAGATTCAAAGTCTATGGTCTGTAAGTTAAAGAAGTCCATCTATGGTCACAAATAGGCTTCCCGTAAATGGTATCACAAATTTCATCAAGTTATCACTTCCTATGGTTTTGAGGTGAATGTGGTAGATGATTGTGTATATCACAAGTTCAGTGGGAGTAAATTTATCTTCCTAATTTTGTATGTTGATGACATATTACTTGCCAGTAGTGATATAGGCTTATTGTACGAAACTAAGAAATTTCTTACTAAGAATTTTGAGATGAAAGATCTTGGTGACGCCTCTTTTGTATTAGGAATTCAAATACTACGAGATCGCTCTCAAGGTATCCTTGAGTTATCACAAAAGGGCTATATCAAAAAGGCTTTGGATAGATTTGGCATGAAGAATTGTTCATCAGGAGATACGTCTGTAGCTAAGGGAGACAAGTTTAGTCTCAGTCAGTGTCCCAAGAATGAACTTGAGATAAAAGAAATGGAAAAGATTCCTTATGCATCAGCAATAGGAAGTCTAATGTATGCTCAAGTTTGCACTCGTCCCGACATAGTATTTATAGTGGGAGTATTGGGCAGATACTTAAGTAACCCAGGAGTGAATCATTGGAAAGCAGCCAAACGGGTCATGCGCTATTTGAAGAGAACAAAGGATTACATGCTCACTTATTGGAGATCAGACATACTAGGGATCATCAGGTATTCTGATTCTGATTTTGCTGAATGCCAAGATAGTAAGCGATCCACGTCAGGCTATGTTTACATGTTGGCAGGAGAAGCTATTTCTTGGAAAAGTGTCAAGTAGATACTTATAGCTTCTTCTACCATGGCTGCAGAGTTCATAGCCTGTTATGAGGCATCTAATCATGGGATATGGCTACGAAATTTTGTCACGGGACTGCGTGTGGTTAATGGTATTGAGAGGCCACTTTTTGTGACAATAAATCGGCAGTGCTATATTCTAATAACAACAGAAGCTCTACGAAATCGAAGCATATAGACATCAAGTTTCTTGTTGTTAAAGAAATAGTTCAAAGTGGTCAAATTTGGATAGAACGCATGGGGACAAACTCCATGCTTGCGGATCCGCTAACCAAAGGCTTAACACCCAAGGCCTTTCATGAGCACACTGCTCATATGGGTGTTATTTTATTTGAGGATACTATGGTTTAGTGGGAGTTGATTTTAATTTTGGATGTTCTATGACATAAACGTTTATTTGTTTATTTTTTACAGAATAAAGAAGATGGATTTACAGTTTTATAATTTTTCCTCTGAATGTGTTAATTTTTTGTTTGCAATCTTGCATTATGTTTAAAAAATTACGGATTAATCTTATAAAGAATAAAGGAAATAGACATGTTGGAGATCACATTGCATGTATTTTCATGACACTCATCCATACTCGATCTATGTCATTGAATATGTTGGTATGGTGACCATAAAAGGTGAGGTTTAGTTGCATTTGAGGGTGACAAAAGCCGCCATGATCTCATGTTAATATAGGAGATGGACCATATTGTATCTTAAGTGGAGACTAAGGATAAATAACATACGGTTGCGCGCCTAAGAAATTATGTATGATATAATTATTTCAAGAATCATATGTTGCCCAAGTGGGATAAGAAACGTGAGTTTCCTATATTATGGGCCACATATTTATTTCATAATTATATTAAACTATTTAATTAATTAGGTTAATTAAGTGATCTAATTATAAAAAGTCTAAATAGTCTCCTAACAGGGTATCAGAGGTGATCTTTGCTTAAGTATTCCTAATAATAATAACAATATCATGCAATTATATATGCATGGCCTGCATCGTGTAATAGCAATACTACGTGGTGTTGAAAAGCGGTTTAATTAGTAGGATTGAGCAATTGCGCATAAAAGAGTATCAGAGGTGTGTTTGATCATCCAAATGGGCCAACACTACTAAGAGCACTACTAGAAGTAGTGCTGCTGCACCCGCTTTGGACCTTGGATTATGATCCAACTCCCATCGGCCCACGCTGAGAACTATCATTTCATAAAAAGCGTCTTCAAGTTGTTTTTTTTTTCCCTGCTTGTAATAAAAAAGTCATATAACTCATTTATTTTTACCTTACTTAATGTCTGTGTATATATGTGGAAATTTTAATTATGTAGCAGGAAAAATGTTTGAAAACATCATCGTAGTGACGGAGCCAAAAATTTAAGTTAGTGGGGGCTAATAACTGAAGCAAAAATTTAATGGGACTACAAGAGTAATTTTTAAAGTTCTAATGAGAGCTATGGATAGTAATGTAACACAAATAAATAAATATATCTATAGTATTTTTAAGGTATAAAAATTTTCAGTGGGGGGCTTAAGCCCCCACAAAGCCTTCTTTGGTTCGTCTGTCTATCGATCTATGGTGCTAAACACCATTACTATTAGAAAGTAATTTTATATATAGACTTCATATTTTAATATTTGTCTTCTATTAATGGGTGATGCTCAACACAACTAATGTTATCTGTTTATCAAATCTAAATCTATATCATGGAGTGCCTAGAGTGCCTAGCATAAGAAAATCTATACCACAAAACGGTGAACATTCAATTTTGACCAATTCTAACGTCTTTGAAATAAAAAAAATGAAAAAAATAGAAATAATAACATTTATTTTGAGGTCCAAACTTTAAAACACATATACTTTTCATAATATTATAATTCCGTCCACTTTTCAAAATTAATTGTTTTTGGTATTTATTTTATATTATAATATGTCATTTTAAAGTATATTACGATATGTCAAAGTATTATAATTTTATGATAATGACCACATTCACATATTGTATACAAATATTAGCAACTTTTTTGAATTTTCGACTTATGGAGCTTATGACATTACGGTCCTGATTTGTTTTACTACTATAATGTATTCTCTCACATAAATTTATTTTTTAATTCAAGATTTTGTTACACCCAATTTGTTCGATTATATTAATGTCAGAGTCATCTAATATATCGAAACACAATCAATGATAATTATTAACTCTTAGTTTTTAAAGTTTAATTACTCTTAAAAGACGTTACAAGGGGTGAGAAATGACCTTTATTGTCATCAACAGATGCGCGTCATGTAATCAAAATTGTCAAAAAAAAATAAATGTCATTTTTAATTAGTCTTTAATTGTAAAAATTTCAAAACTGAAGGGGTCAATTACCCTAAAAAAAAAATATGAAAAGTAAATTGTCAAATTTAAAAAGTTAAGGGGCATCAAAGCATCTCATTTTCCCTATTTTCTATCGTTCAAAAAACGAGTACGTTTTGGATATTACGTTAAAGGACGGGGTGCAAGATGATAATAATTTATTTTTCTCCCTTCAGCTGCTGATTGGACCGGATTCGGAGTCCGGAATGATGAGGTGGACCCCACTACGTGATGATCGACGGTCAGATCGCTCCCAAAACACGTCATACGCTTCAGCCACTCTCAACTCAAGACTAGCTATGCTAAACCCGTCCCTGTGAGTAAGGCTTTGGGTGAAAATGTCCGTTTCGTGATCGGAAATTCAGACAAATAAAATAAAAATTCCCACAAGAACAAAAACCAGTACAGTCCTCGTCGTCGTCTCCGGCACCGGCGAATATGATCCCGCCGGAGCTCCAACCCCGCTCCTTTCGTCCCTACATCTCCTCCTCAGTCAGCGCTCCTTCCTTCTCCTCCACCCCCTCCTTCAACAATTTCTCCTCCGATCCAAACCCTAACCCCTCCGATGCCGGCCCTTCTTCCCGCAGATCCCTCAACAACAACAACACTTCTCGCTTCTCTCCGGCCGTCTCCTTCTTCGCTCACAACTCCCTCATGGCCGTCGCTCTCCTCCCATGCGCCGCCTTCCTTCTCGACCTCGGCGGCACCCCCGTCGTCGCCACTCTCACCGTGGGCCTCATGATCTCCTACATCCTCGACTCCCTCAACTTCAAGTCCGGCGCCTTCGTCGGAGTCTGGCTTTCTCTCCTCTTCTCCCAGATCGCCTTCTTCTTCTCTTCCTTCTCTTCTCTCTCCTCCTCCTTCAACTCCCTCCCTCTCTCCTTCCTCGCCGCCTTCCTCTGCGCCCAAACCACCTTCCTCATCGGCGTCTGGTGCTCTCTCCAGTTCAAATGGATCCAAATCGAGAACCCTAAGTCCATCGTCCTCGCCCTCGAGCGTCTCCTCTTCGCCTCCCTCCCTTTCCCCGCCGCCGCGCTCTTCACATGGGCCGCCATTTGCGCCGTCGGCTTCTCCGCCGCCTCCTCCTACTACCTCATGGCCTTCAATTGCCTCTTCTACTGGCTCTATTCCATCCCCAGACTTTCCTCCTTCAAGACCAACCACGCGCAAGCCAAGTTCCATGGCGGCCAGGCTCCCGATGACTCGTTTATCCTAGGACCTCTCGAGAGCTGCTTCCACACACTCAATCTCGTCTTCCTTCCTCTTCTCTTTCACATCGCCTCCCACCACTCCGTTCTCTTCTCCTCCGCTGCTTCCGTCGCCGACATTTTCCTTCTCTTCTTCATTCCCTTCCTTTTCCAGCTCTACGCCTCCACGAGAGGCGCTCTCTGGTGGATCACCAAGAACGAGCACCAGCTTCACAGCATTCGCGTCGCCAATGGCGCCGTCGCGTTGGTCGTTGTGGTTATTTGCTTGGAGATCAGAGTGATTTTCCATTCGTTTGGGCGCTACATTCAGGTGCCACCGCCGTTGAATTACCTTCTCGTGACGACCACAATGCTGGGAGGGGCGGCCGCGGCTGGGTCGTATGCTATGGGAATGGTTTCTGATGCTTTCAGCTCGTTGGCTTTCACTGGTTTGGGTGTTGTTGTTAGTGCTGCTGCAGCAATCGTTGTGGGTTTTCCTTTACTGGTATGCATTCTTCTTCTCGCTACCTGATAATACAATGTAGATGGATATTTGAATTTATTTAACGTAGTTATCTCTTTAGCATGACCACCTGATAAAAATGCGGACGGAAGTAGGACAAATTGTATAGGAACCGAATCACTGAAGGTACTTAAGAAACAAGAACATTATTCATCATTTAACAAATTTTGGAAAATTCGATAACTATGGAATAAGGATTCTGTGAAATCTTCTAGGATGTTAGTGGATATAGAATTGTAGTTGGTTGAATGTCTTTACCACTCATGTTACCCGGGCATTTGTGAACATATACTCCTTGTAACTTTCCTTCCATTTGGGTTGTCAAGAATCTTTTTTGCGCTTTTTGCTGGTGTTTCTGCTAGGCTTCGCGCTCTGGTGTTTGTGATTTGGTTTGTTAGGCTTGATGCAAAAAAGGTTAAAAATATCCAATCCCAATTAGGTTAGAACCAACTCCAATCCCAACCAGGTGAGAACCAACTCAAATCCCAACCAGGTGAGAACCAACTCAAATCCCAACTAGGTTTGCACCTGAGAAGGAAGACAATCCTATGGAAGACCTTCCATCAACTGATCAATGAAAAACAATATACAATGTTAAGAAAGTCGTTACAACTCAGTCTAATAGCTAAACAATCTAAACTAACAACCAAACCCATCGGATTTACCCATGTTATGTAAAATGTTAGTTTATCAAGCTTAAAAGTTGATAATCCTCTAATATATTTTGTGGTCTGATACTCTAATTGGAAGCAAACTTTTTTCAGATGCATTGTGTTTGTAGGATTTGGGAATTAACTGCTACTTTTGATTCGTTATTTTGCAGTTCCTTCCATTGCCTTGTGTCGCTGGTTTCTACCTGGCTCGTTTTTTCACGAAGAAGAGCCTGCCATCATACTTTGCCTTTGTTGTGCTAGGTAGCTTGATGGTCATGTGGTTTGTGATGCATAATTTCTGGGATTTGAATATTTGGATTGCAGGCATGTCACTGAAATCCTTTTGTAAACTGATAACTGCGAACGTTGTCCTGGCGATGGCCGTTCCTGGTCTTACCATTCTCCCTTCAAAATTTCACTTCTTAACTGAGGTTGGTTTAATCAGTCATGCATTGCTGCTTTGCCATATTGAGAACCGTTTTTTCAATTACTCTGGTATATATTACTATGGCTTTGAGGATGATGTGATGTATCCAAGCTACATGGTTATTGTGACAACTTTCGTGGGCGTGGCTCTCACAAGAAGACTATCCGTGGATCATAGGATTGGTCCAAAGGCAGTTTGGATATTGACATGCCTGTATATGTCCAAGCTGGCTATGTTGTTTATTACATCAAAATCTGTTGTATGGGTGTCTGCTCTCCTCTTATTGGCCGTTTCTCCGCCACTACTTCTGTACAGGTACTCTCTCTGCTCTTGAAATCCATCAAAATTTGTTGTCTTCCTATGTTCTCTAAGCTTCTTCAACGTGGAAATGAATTTTCAGGGATAAGTCGAGAACAACCTCAAAGATGAAACCTTGGCAAGGTTATGCACATGCTAGTGTTGTTGCGCTATCTGTCTGGTTTTGCCGCGAAACAATCTTTGAAGCCCTCCAATGGTTGAACGGGAGACCTCCATCTGATGGCTTACTCTTGGGCTTCTGTATTGTCTTGACTGGGTTGGCTTGTGTACCCATAGTTGCATTGCATTTCTCTCATGCCCTGGTATCTTTACCTCTCTCTCTCTCTCTCTCTCTCTCTCTCTCTCTCTCTCTCTCTCTCTCTCTCTCTCTCTCTCTCTCTCTCTCTCCATGTATCCATGTAACATTCTTCTTTGCTCCTTGAATATAATTACTCTATCAGAAATAGAAAGGGGAAAGCCAATTTAAATGCCCTCAGATGCTCAAAACTTTTATGTAGCTCTGTTTTGTCTTTGCCTACTCAGAATTTCTTTGGTCATGACTCATGGCATTAATGTGTCTCGTCATGGTTGTCTGCCACATTATATAGTTGGGAAAAGACCATAGAATGTCTTCACTGGCAACACAGTCACATAACGTAAATGATTGATGGTGTTAGTTACTTTATTTTATAACTTAGCTAACTAATGGTTATCATGGAAAACTTTCTTTTAGTTGAATACTTCTTGAAGCTGTAGTACTTTGAACAGAAATCATCTACGTTATTTATTAGTTATTATTTTACTAACGTCTCCTGTTTCAATATCATTTTGCAGTCTGCTAAGAGATGCCTAGTGCTGATAGTTGCAACAGGTCTGCTGTTTATTCTCATGCAACCTCCTATTCCTCTGTCATGGACTTATCGGTCTGACCTAATTAAAGCTGCGCGACAATCTGCTGATGACATCTCCATATATGGCTTTGTGGCACCAAAGCCTACATGGCCGGCATGGCTGCTTATTGTTGCAATTCTGCTTACACTGGCAGCTGTTACATCCGTCATACCAATTAAATACATGGTTGAGTTTAGAGTGTTCTACTCCATAGCTATGGGCATTGCTTTGGGTGTTTACATTTCTGCTGAGTACTTCCTCCAGGCAGCTGTCCTCCATGCCCTAATTGTCGTGACCATGGTGTGCACCTCAGTCTTTGTGGTCTTTACTCATTTCCCTTCTGCCTCTAGCACAAAGCTCCTGCCATGGGTGTTTGCTCTACTTGTGGCTCTCTTTCCAGTGACATATCTTCTAGAGGGCCAAGTGAGAATTAAAAGCATATTTGAGGATGGTGGAGTTGGAGAAATGGGAGAAGAAGACAAGAAGCTCACCACTCTTCTAGCAGTTGAGGGAGCGAGGACATCTCTTCTTGGTCTATATGCTGCAATATTTATGCTTATAGCTCTGTTGATAAAGTTTGAACTTGCTTCGCTGTTGCGTGAAAAAGTTGCGGAAAGGAGTGGAGTTAGACACACTCAACCCGGTCAAAGCACGTCTGCTAGTTTTCCTGCAAGAATGAGATTCATGCAGCATCGACGTGCCACAACTGTGTCCAACTTCACAATCAAGAGGATGGCCACTGAGGGAGCCTGGATGCCGGCGGTTGGTAACGTTGCTACCATAATGTGCTTTGCCATATGCCTAATCTTGAATGTGAATCTCACAGGTGGCTCAAACCGTGCAATATTCTTCCTGGCACCTATTTTGCTACTGCTCAACCAGGACTCCGATTTTGTAGCTGGATTTGGGGACAAACAAAGATATTTTCCGGTGACTGTAGTGATATCTGCGTACTTAGTGGTGACGGCGTTGTACAGCATATGGGAAGATGTCTGGCATGGGAATGCAGGCTGGGGCTTGGAAATTGGTGGGCCAGATTGGTTCTTTGCCGTCAAGAATTTGGCTCTCCTCATTCTGACATTCCCCAGCCACATCCTTTTCAACAGGTTTGTGTGGAGTTACACGAAGCAAACCGACTCGACACCACTGATAACTCTGCCTCTTAATTTACCATCTGTGATAATAACAGATGTGCTGAAAATTAGGATATTGGGGCTCTTAGGGATAATTTATGCTCTGTCCCAGTATCTAATCTGTAGACAACAGTATCTCTCAGGGTTAAAGTATATTTAGACAACACATCATACTCTACAAACTGTACAATAGATTTTCCAATATTTCAGGAGAGGTGAAAGAAAGTTGAGGTTTTGTCGCTTGCTTGCTTTTTCTCAGACTGTCAATTTGTTTGGGCTTTAGCGGTGGAACCAACCAGTACCCTTTTGAGTTTTATAGCGAGATACTACTCTGAGACTTTCTAATATGTGAAAGAAATGTGAATTGCCCTTCAACTTCAAAAATATATTTGATGGTTGCTCAATTGTTGCTCTTGCACTTGTTAGTTATCTACCACTTTTAACCCAACATGCGCTATATGATGGGTTGAACGCCTTGCATCTATCTGCCTCAGAGATTCAAGTTATTTTTGTACAACGCTCTCTTTCCATGTTTTCAGTTCTTGCATTGAATTTTTTAGGAATTTTGTTTTGTGTTGTGTCGGAGTTTAAAATATAGGAATTTAGTTTTAAGGCCGATACAGAAGCGGGTATGGGGGATTAAAAAAAGGGTAATCTATTGGAGTTGGGGAAGATACCCGCCCCTGCCACGTTGTCATTCCTAAAAGTAATTTTCATATATATAGGATCCATTTAGTTCAGTGATTCGAGTCATAAATTCAAGTTGAGATTTAATTTTATGTGAGAGTTTTTTATTGTAGTAAAAAAGTTAGATGTCATCATATGTCGCCGTCTCTCTAACTTGAGTTTTTTATTTATATGCAGATCTTCTTCGATGAGTTTTCATAATCTGAGTGTTGTAAATTCAAGTTGAGATTTAATTTTATGTGAGAGTTTTTTATTGTAGTAAAAAAGTTAGATGTCATCATCTGTCGCCGTCTCTCTAACTTGAGTTTTTTATTTATATGCAGATCTTCTTCGATGAGTTTTCATAATCTGAGTCTGTGATTACATTTTTCAGTGCTTGTGAGAGTATTGATATGTTTAGATTGGATTATTACTTACAATTGCTAAATGGCGTTGGAAATTGTCCTAATTCTGTGTTTTTGTTTTGTGATAAATATATATTTGGTAATCTCAGCACATGTTTGTTATTCCTGAAAAATGATAGATATTTGTTTGGTAAATGCAAACACTTTGTGTTTGTTTTTTGAAATCTGAGTGTTTTTTTTTTTTTTTTTTTTTTTTTTTTTTTTTTTTTTTTTTTTTTTTTTTTTTTGTCAACGATTTGTTCAGTTCTTGTCTTTTTTTCTTCCCCTGAGAAATGATGTTTTTTTTGGCCGATGATGATGGCAGATAGACGGCCGGTGATTGGATGTATTTATCGGTCACCGATTCTAGAGGCCAGATTTTTGAGTTTGAATTAAATAAGTACAATATTTATCTATAAATATTTCACTGATTTTGGGTTTGAATATATTTATCAGTAAAAATTTCACTAAATTTAATTCTTAATCTAGTATATATCATATTTACCAATAAATATTTCATTGAATTTAATTCTCAATCTAGTAAATACTATATTAACCAGTAAATACTTCACTGAATCTAATTTTTGATCTAATAAATATTGTATTTATCTGTAAATGTTTTATTGAATTCAAGTTTAAATCTGCTACATATTGTATTTATCAGTAAATACTTAACTGAATAAGTTTGAATATGATAAATATAATATGATAAATATGATATTTACTGGTAAATACGGTATTTACCAATTACCGGTGTCGGTCACTGAATTTTCAGATAAATATAATAAATATGGTATTTATTAGTAAATACATTATTTACTAGTAAATACAGTGGTAAACAGTTGTCGAGTCAATGGTCGAATTTTTGGATAAATATGATATTTACTTGTAAATATAATATTTATTGATAAATACGATATTTACTAGTAAATACAGTATTAAACGGTCGCTGAAATCGGTATTAGAATTTTTGAATAAATATAATATTTATTAGTAAATACGATATTTATTGATAAATACAGTCTTAAACGGTTACTGAAGTTGGTGGTCTGATTTTTAAGTAAATATGATATTTACTACTAAATATGGTATTAAATGGTAAATACGATATTTACCTGTAAATACAGCGTTAAACGGTCGCTAAAGTCGGAAGTCGACTTTTTGGATAAATATGGTATTTATTAATAAATACAGTATTAAATGATAAATAAGGTATTTATCAGTAAATATAAGGTTGCCGAAAAACAGTCACAAATTATCAGAAAATAGTCTCCAGAGTCAGTCGCTGATCCCGACCATAGTGGACTTACTATAATCTATCTATTTTAAAAAAATATACTATAATTTACTATATTTTTAAAAAATAAATATTTAAAAAAGATAATTAAAGTAAAAAAAGAAATTTAGGAGAAATTTAAATTTTTAATAATATTTAAAAATTAAAATATCAAATTATACTATAATTTACTAATTTTAAAAAATATGTTATAATTTACTACCTTATTTCCCTATCCCAAATGTAAAGAGACGTACAAAAGACTAGAAGAGAGTGTTGAGAGAGAGAGAGAGAGAGTTGCTCAAGTGATGACTCGTACGGACAAGCTTAGAATCGGAGTTGGAGCTCAAGGATCTTCTCCTTCTCCTTGTTCTTCTTCAATCTTCAATCTCTAATCATTATAACATACACCACTCGATTCTGATTCTTCAAAAGGTACGTCCCCAAGAGACATTTCCACTTCATCATCGTCATTTGCTTTGCTTGCACTTGCACTTGCCCTTTCCCTTTCTCTGGGGCTTCACTTGGGATTTTTTTTTTCCACAAACAATCGGATTCCGATCCCCAATTCTCCTTATATTTATTTCCTGATTGCACCTTCCAAGCGAACTAATTTCACTTCCCCATTGTCCGTTTCCCTGTATCTATTGGATTTGGAGTTTAAGCTGTATCATCTTTATCATTATAATGATGAGAATATTAACCAATTTTCACTAAAGATGATGCTAGCTTCAAGATAAACAAATCTGATTTCATTATTACCTGTTTTATTTGCAGGCTTCATTATCAAAGTTCAGAGCTTTGCCAATTTTTTGCAAAATCTAGGGTTTTTGTTTGCTCGTTTCAATTTCCATCTGGGTTGCTCAACAATCCTTTAATTATAAATAATAATAAATAAATAAAAAATGGGTGCTTTGTGCTGTTGTCCATGTGGTGATGAATTTGAGGAATATTCTCTTCCTAGCAATCCATTATACAGGCACTGCTTATGCCTCAGATTCTTTCTCCACCAGCTTTTCACTGGGGTACGTCTTCACAAACATTAATAACTATTACGAGTATCTTTTTTACCCATTGGTTTTTCAATGTGGGTCTATTTTTGTGATTTGATAAGTTTTGAGTATTGGGGTTATTATTTTTATTTCCTTTTCTTTTACTTTTACTTTAGTGTCTCGGTTATGCTTCCTATCTAAGGACAATTGTGTTAATTTTGGTTGACTACCAGCAATTGAATGTTCTGAACGCTCGATTTTCATTTTTTTATTTTTCCCTGAATATTCTTTGTGCAAATTATCTGCATCAGTGAACCAACGAGTATTTGTGAGTGTGTATGTGTGTCGTTTTCTGTTTTATACGTCAAGCAGGTGTCTTTGTGTGTGGATTGGTGCAAATTCTCTAATTCATTGCGTAGATATTGGGAGGGGAAAGTGGAAGGAAGGAAGAATAGGGGTGGAAGGATTAGTAGATTAATTGTAAGACTCACGGTTGGTTTGTTGGAGGGGTTAAGAGAGAAAATAATCAACTCCAATTTTTGATTCTTCCAAAGTTTTAGAAGAGGAAATCTATATCAAGTATAATAAAAGAAACGTCCTTTCTTTCCTCTCCTTGTCCTCACCGAGGTTACATTACCTTAACTTCCTTCCTATTTTCTTTCCCTCTTTTACTAAACACGAAGCCTAAGGTTTTAAGTTTATTTTCAAAGGACCATTTAATTTGTAATAATTTTAGGGCCTAATCCTTCACCGTGAACAAGCAGTATAGTGCAGGATTTCAAAGACTTGACGAGCGCTCCGCTTCATCACCTATGCAAGGAGCTACTGCTTTGACGGCATCATCAGGAATGACCCCAACTCTAACAGAAAATTCCTTAAATGATCATCAACTATCGATCTCCAGGCCATTGCCCTATGATGCTGAGCAGAGATACTCGAGGCCACAGCGCGATGGCTTGGTTTCTAGGCGTGAGAAATCTATGTCTCATCTGCAAGAAGATTCACAAATGAGAAGAAATATAAGCAGTTCTGGCACCGATTCTTTGGGTTTTGGAAAGAAAGAAGATTGCAAATCGTCGGAAAAGCCTTTGGCAACAAAGGTTGCTTATGGACTTACTCATATGAAACCATCATCCGAAGATGAAGACGTCTGCCCTACATGTCTTGATGGTAGTAATTCCGCCATGTTGATCTTATAAAGCAATATGGTTAACTTCTAATATTTAGTGCAGTCATATTTTGTTCTGGTTATGTTGGGTTCAAAAGTTATGTGCTTAAACAGTTCTCGGCACAGATTTGTAATTGTGTTTTTATTTTTCTGCAGAATATACTCCAGAGAATCCAAAAATCACAACAAGATGCTCTCACCATTTCCACCTTGGTTGTATTTATGAATGGCTGGAAAGGAGTGAAAGTTGTCCAATTTGTGGCAAGGTATATTTAGAGCCAATCTTTTAAATTTTATAAAACTTCCCTTGAAGTCCCTCGTCTCTGTTCTAATGTTTTTTAGTCTGTAAGTGGGTTGAATGTAACATTAATTTTCTAAGTTGATGTTACAAGAATAGCTTTCAATATAATTGCTATTCTATGGTGCTGAAGTATATCACAGGTATTTTTACCTTTCTTCGTTAGGGCAATGTTTACCTTGACGTGAATGGGAAGGTAATGTTTACTTACAAAAAAGTGTAATGACAATCTGTTAGGGGCTACCAGCCACATGATATAGAGAACAAGGAAAGGGAATACCAATCCTAAGTTACCTCTTGGTATTGTTTCCCTCAAATGAAATAAACTGCAAACTTACTTTCTTAGCCTTTTAAAACTCATTAATAATTTTGCGCACAAGGGCATTTTAGTACTTAAGTTATATATTTTATTATATTAGTACCTGAGCTATTAGGATTGCCATTCCTCGAGGTAATAATACAGGGAAATTGGCTTCTTAATAGGCAAATAAACCCTAGAAAGGGGATCGATAATCCTCTCCCTTATTCATTTCTTTCCCTTCCGACACCTTTCCCTTTCTGATTGCATTCCATTACAAGTTAGTAAACATGCCCTTCATGTTTTCATTGCAGTTTCCTGGAAATATCACGAGCTTTATACATGTTCAACTTGTGACAATTCTTTCTATTCCTGTATTTTTTTTCCTTTTAAAATGTCAGGAGATGGAGTTCTGTGAAAGTCCCTAATGCTCGTGCTTATGACTTAAAAGCAAAAAGAGTATACATATGAAGCGGCTGTCATCGTCTGTAGAAGAAAAAATATATATATATATATATATGTATATATATATCTTGTTTATACTTGTACATGCTTGCATAGAGGGAATGAATTGTTCATTTTGTGCCGGTATTTGCCCTCCATGTTGATGTTTGATACTTGATACTTGATGTTGGAATGTCTTGTGCTTTCTGTATAGAAATCCACAAATCAGTGGCAAGTCATGAACTCATTGTAAACATGATCATGACCTCATTTCAATGCCTCAAAACATTCAGCTGTTTCTTACCTTTGCGATTCTAGAAACAATGGAAATATCTCAGAATTGTAGTGCAAGTTGATGAATGTTTCGGCCATGGATATGAAGCATGGCAAATTGTAGTGTTCTGCGAGGATGCAAATTCAAACATGGTTTTGCTAGTTTTGCAATGGAATGTATGCTTGTCCGCTTTTATATATGTTACACATCTTTTTATCTTGAAACAATACAAGTGGATTATTTTGCTGGTTTTGCTAGTTTTGCAATGGAATGTATGTTTGTCCGTTACACATCTTTTTATCTTGAAACAATACAAGTGGATTATTTTGCCATATGTGCTCGTGTCACTCACAAGGTGAAGTCTTGAATGTGAAAGCCAATAGTCAACATTTTGGCTATATGCTTGCTTACTTACAAGATGTGAAATTTGCTTTTCTTAAACTTTAAACGGTAACTTTTGTGAAAGGAATCATACAAGAGAAAATAGGCACTCGTCGAACTAAAATTTCCAATCTCCTAGTTATGAAAGAGTAGTAGCATTCTTGTGCTTTTTGTTGATATTGGTTTCAACCTGCTCTACCATCGTAGGCCTCTTCTCTGCCCTGTACTCGTACCTACTTGCTGAATATAGAAAAATGCAGAAATTGACTACACTCAGAGCTGTAAGCAGCCAGTAAAGATTATCAAATCTGCCAGTGTTGATGTTCTGGGACAACCATGAGGGCTCTCCTGTCTCTGGGTTTCCCGTTGCCGCTTTCACAATGCTGTTGATTATGCTGGCCGCAAAGCAACCCATACCTCCTGCGAGAGCAGCATAAGCTGACCCTATACTTTTCATGGCATCGGGTGCTTCCTCGTACAAGAATTCCAACAATCCCACTATGCAAAACACTTCGGCGATGCCAATCAGGCAGTACTGGATTAGCAACCAGTATGCACTTAAGTTTGGCATTGGAGTTAAAAATATCATCTCAAATTCATGTTTTATTGCATAATTTCTTCGGTACCTTTCGAAAACGCCTGCCCATGCCACTGACAGGATGGAAATCGCCAATCCAATGCCGATCCTCTGAAGTTGGGAAGCGCCATGAGGGTGCCCTGTGATGCGCCGGGACAACGGAACAAACGTGGAGTAATAGAGTGAGAGGACAAGGAAAATGCTGAGGCCAGGAAATACGGGCATGCACGTTACAGGGAGTTTGAGGCGACCAATGTGAGTGTTCATTGTGTATGCCTGCTGCACTGAGAGAGTAAGGTACTCTGTTAAGAGCACACTAAGCATTATTGTGCAAGCTGGTATGGGAATGAGCTTCAAAAGGATCTTCACTTCCTCTACTTGAGTTACAGTGCAGAGCCTCCAGGGACTTGGATCAACACCGTCTTCCTTCAGCTGCAGCGCTGCTTTGTCCAAACATCTGCAACGAGCAAACACGTACATTCCATTACCGTGTGTAAAAAATAAAAAAAAAATAAAAAAAAGACCTCATTAAACTGTAAATATAGTTTGTAAATATAGAATAGAGCAGCTTAGAATTAATTGACACGTATCAGCTTGTTGATGAGTTAGTTGTTGATATTCAAGTCTTGTACAGATATATTCATTCATGAGAATTCAGAAAGTTTCTTTCCACAGACTAATGCCATGCAGGTATTTTAATAGAAGGAATCAAAGCAATTGCACTTATTAAAATATATAAATATATATATATATATATACACGAGTGGAAAAGATTCAAATGCAAAGTACCTGAAATCATCACTATGAGGAATCTTTCCACTACCCTTTATGGCAGAATGTTTGCCAGGGACCTCATACAAACCTATCAACTCGCTGCTAGAGAATGATGCCTTTCTCTTCCGAAAGGCGGCAACCAGAACTTGAGCAAACCTTGTGAGAGGGCTGCCTCCGGGCAACCTATGCCTATATAAAGGAGTACCAATGAAGAACACCAAGTTGGATATTCCCATAGCTGCCGCCAATGTGCCAAAGGCTGATCCCCATCCAAGTTTCATTTGAATGTAGACGACTGCGGTGAAGGCGATGATAGCACCAATCGTGACAGAAAGATAAAAAAAGTTGAAAAACCTGTCTAGGTGGGACTTGTAATCTTTGCTTCTTTCATCAAACTGATCAGCCCCAAATGAAGAAACGCAGGGCCGAATACCAGCAGCTCCAAATCCAGTTATGTAGAGGACGGTGTAGAGGTAAATCATTTGCCATGGTTTTGCTGGCTCACAACTGCCTAAAAGCAACGATATCTGTGAGCATTGGTCTTGGTTAGGCAAAAAGACGTCCATCGTGGCGCATAGAGTAATTCCTATCAAACCCTTGAGAATAAAATTTGGAAAAAAAATATTAAAAAAATATATATATATCTGCCATTACTGATTAAAAATTTGCTAGCTGATTAATGATTAAAAATCATGGATTTAAGAAAGGAACAGGATGATACTAACCACAAGATAGATTGTAGTGAAGATTGCAATGGTCCAATATCGACCAAGATATGCATCGGCAAGAAAACCGCCAAGGACTGAGGAAGCTTGTGATATTCCTAAGAAATTGTTGACGGCATTTGATGCACTGGAGAAGGGTCTATGCATTACGTAAAACATGAAGACAACCATATTAACCGAAAGCCCGAAATAAGCCATTCTCTCTGCCATTTCATTCCCTGTTTTTTTTTTTTTTCAAAAGCCAATCTTAGTAGCCACAAAACACAAAGCCAATCTTTTTTTTTCTTTTTTTTTTTTTTTGGAAAAAGAAGGAAAAAGAGAGAAGAAAATTGTGGAAGTTTACCAAATATGAAAAAGGCAGCAATCCAACCACCAGTCCTTGAGAGATCAGAAATTGGTTTCCCACGGATATTAACCGGCGTGGTTCCTCCGGTATAACCACGGCCAAAAGCCGTCCTCCTGTCATCGGATTCAATGAAATAGATTCCGAGCTTCTTTCGCTGCAATGATTCAGAATTTCCACCCAAAGCAGTAGTAGTTGTGGTAGTAGTAGTAGTACTACTAGTAGCTGCCATCTCTACCACCCGTTTTGGTGACTTGATCTCTCTTGTTTCCATATATCTCCGCTTTCTCAATTAGCTTACCCCAAAATTTACCGTTATTCTTTTGTAAAATCAAGTAGCTGGAGCTAGAAGAAACTATCAAATCTGTTTTACTAGTTTCATACACACACATATACAACCTTAAATATACAACCTCAAAGTTGACCGCTTGTACCAAAACCAAGTTTCTGTTTTGCTAACTACTACTACTACTACTACACACACACACACACACACAAATACTTATAGGACTGTGGAAAAGCTTATGCTTTATAGTGGCTGTGCGCAATTTGAGGAAGAAATCTGTCCTAAAATGGCAATTTGGAAAAGTTTTTAGTCTCTCTGAGTGAGGACTGTGGAAAAGTTTCTTACTTTGGGAACAGCAGCAGCAGTAGTAGTGATTAAAACCAAGAAAAAGGGGCTACACTTAAATGAAGGAGATGTCAAGATCTAAGAAAAAGAAGACGATAAATTATGGATGGTATCTGCTAAGAAAAACTAACTATATCTCATTTCCTAAATATTAAATATGAGAAGAAAATGCATTCAATTGCCTACTTTGTAGGGTGTATTGTATCAGATGTTGTTGTCAGTTGAAGGAAGATGGGCCTATCTTCTTCAATGTACTAAAATTATTATCCCCATTTTCCCAACCTCCCCCCACTTACCTGTCATAAATATGCCACTACACCCAATCACCATCATTAATTTACTGCTTATTCCAATTATGAGCCTCTCCAACCACATCTTTTCTTTTTTTTCTTTTTTTTTTTTTGAACTCTTCCACTATTAAAATATCTTTTGGCAAAATTCTCCCCTATATTTTTTATTCTCTTGCAAAATGAACCATTTGCTAAGTTGTTCATTTGAGTTTGTTTCTAGTTTGGCTTTAGTTCTAGGGTGACTTTGTTTCTAGACAAGTCTTCTGCTGCTGCTGCTGTATTTGTGGAGGGCTGCCTGTAAGTCCAAGATCATGATTGTTGTTGTGTAGAAAAATATGTTTTGCCACGTCGGATGATAACCGAGCTTCACATAGCCTTCACCCGTCACGTCAGACAGCCGTCGACGTTTTGAGCTCATTTTTCCCTCTTTTGATTGTGAAAGGACGGATCGTATGAGAAAATTCATACAACCGTTGACCCCACACACAGTCGAGGCACTGGTACCATGGGAGGATTGACCGGGACGGAGACCGCGACTTGTGAAATATAATATAGATGCCAAGAGCAGGACGCATGAGTTTGGATCCACGTCCTAATAATGACCTCTGAGGTGACATGAGAGAAATCTCTAAGTTACTTCTGGGTTTAGAGAGTAGCACAGAGAATGATTACCTACCCATAAACCACCTAGAACGGACCAATAGAAATCACGGAAGATCCGCAGGGCCGCTATAGTGGACAAAGTGGGTGAGTGAATAGTCCAAAAAGTGCTGAATGCTACGGTCTAGACAGGTAGGATAATAGGCTACTTGAGAGAAACCATTAGAGAAACTCTTGACACAGTCCGCCCCATATGTAATATGTAAGATATAAAAGGGGCAAAGCCCCGGAGAGAAAGGATGGATCTTTGTAATCTTTGAAGGAAGAAAGAAAGAAAAATACAATAACAAGTGGATGTAGCTCTTTCATGGTAGAGTGAACCACTATAACCTCGTGTGTTCTTTTTCATTTTAACGACAAATCTATGCGCCTTTAAAATACCTTAAAAAAAATACAACTAGTTACATTTTCCCGATAATATAATAAGTTTTGGCCGATGACCCGACTGACCACCGAGTGGTAATCCAGCGTAATCTTGTTAACAAAATTCCACCGTCAACAATTGTCATCCGACATAATTGAGAATCTATTTGCCCTTAAACGGAAACGACATCACACTAATTATACCATGCTTGAAACGACAAATATTTTTTTTGAAAAAGAATGTTTTTATGTTAAAAAATTTAGATGTCTTTACTAGTCAAAGTTTACTGCATTTTGTCCCACAAAAAGACCAATCGTTCGTTTCAGAATTTTTTGACTTCTGTCTCTTCTAATTTAGGGTATGTTTATTTATACAATTCAAGTCAATTTGAGTAATGTGAGAAAAAAATACTATAATAAAATATTAAATTTAAACTTTTATGAGAAATGACTTGAGTTATAAAAATGAAAAAGACCGTTTTTATGTTAGAGTATACTACGACACTATCATATTACTTTTAATTTTAGTGTTGATTGTGATTGAATTATCATATCAATTAACCATGAAAGACGTATTCCACAACTTGTTGTCGTATTTATTTCACCGATTTAAATTTTTAATTTTAAATTTTTACAGTTAAAAATATTAAAAAAATATCACATTTAACTTTTTTATTACAGTAAAAAATTATTAAAAAATATCACATCTACTTAAATTAAAAATTTAAATCTGTAAAAAGAAGGATGCCATATCCCAACAAAAATATCGCAATTGTCTATAACGTACCGGACGCGTAAAATCAAATGTGACTCTTTAATGCTGACAAAATCAGAAATTACCTAGAAGCTGCCTCCCTACGATCCAGTGATCCACTTAGGACAAAGAAATGATGTAAAATTAATAATAATAATAATAATAATGTGTTTAATAATCATACCCCGCATGCTATGCTTTTTTTTTAGCATAAAAATCATAATCCGCACGCTTAATGGTCAAGATTAAAGTGGGAGAGTGAATATTGATTTTAATTAAAAGCTGCCACGCATTCACACAGCGCTGAGGAAACATCTACATCTACATCAACGCGTGATGAGATGGGAAAAAGAAACGTCCGGTTGTATCATCAATCATGTAGAGCTCTCAAATAAGCTTAAGCTGGACCGGTTGTGGTTGGATCGAGTCAGGAGTCGACTCTGGTGATTGTGAAGGCGTAAATAACACGACACCAATCCCAAGAAAAAAAAAACAAAACAGACGTTGGACTTTTCCATGAGATTATTTTGACATGCATGCATGCCTGCCTAACGCCTCAAAAGGCGTCTCACGGTCTCTGGTACGAGTCTGCGCAACTATAACTTCGTACATCTCGGATTTTCCAAAGACATTCGAGACAGTAAAGTAAAACACAAATATCTAACTCAACACAAGCTGCAAACATACATAGAGATCATAATACATCATCCACGTCTCACAAAAGCAAAGCATTCCAACAAATTTACATCAACACAAAAAAAAAAGCCACCAGCTTTTATTAAATTCATAATGCACCCACCAAATAGGTAAGAACGCCATAAGGCTTTTTTTATAACCCCCACAACAACATTAAGCAAAACCTCTGAAATTACAGGCTAACTAGCTTAAGAGAGTTTGCCTTCTCTTGCAGCGTATCCAGCAGACTGTCAAAACTTTTCTTGAATGCGTCCACTCCCTCCAGCTCAAGTTGAGAACCCACATAGCTCCAGTCAATTCCCAACTTCTCAAGTGCACTGTAAATGCCCTCAGCCTCGGACACATTCGAATCAATCGTCCTTGAAACACTACCGTGGTCAATAAAAGCTTGTAGGGCTTGGTCAGGCATGGTTGATACCTACAAAATACACAACGGTCAACCGGGATTAAACAGACTAATGTGAGCAATGACCAAATTGAGTTTCATCAAACAGGAATTCGAATTCTTCAAAACATCAAAGCTAATATAAATCAGGAAACATAAGAAAAAAAAAGGTATTAAAACTTGTAGTAAGCACAAAAGATAGGCCATAGGCTAAGCAGCATGTTGTTTAATTATATGGTATCTCTAAGAGAAGCTTATCTTCTCATTTGCCATGAGGAACAATTATCAATAACTCTATAGCTCAAGACATCAGGTTGAATCATAAGATAAGTTACCGTGTCGGGACCAATAAGAGGAGCAACGTATAAAGTGTCAGGGTAGGCAGGATTCTTGACGCTAGTTGAGGCCCACAACACCCTCTGCTTCTTAGCTCCTTTCTTTACCAAAGCATCCCACCTCGGGCCGGAGAATTTCTTTTGGTAGAGTTTATATGCTAGGGCCGCTTGAGCTACTGCAGCCTAGAAACAGTTATTTGTCATTGTGTCAGCAAATCTGCAACTTACTGGTTCTAATAGGTCCAGAGAAACATAAATGAATTACCTTTCCTCGGAGATCTAGGGCCTCCGGTGTTCCAATCTTCTCAAGCAACTTGTCAATAAGGGTGTCCACCCTACTAACAAAGAAAGAAGCAACACTAGTTACCCTAGACAGATCATTTAGCCCAGAAGCCTCAAGGCCGTCCAAATAAGCATCGATAACTGCTTCATATCTAGCAAGAGAAAATATAAGCTGCACAAGCCATGATATAAAGTTAAGATGCTTCCATGTGAATTACCGAAAAAATGACATAAATATATAGATGTGCTTAGAGGCCTAACAAGAACTCTCAGTCCTTAGCGATCATTAAGCAGCAAAAGCTTATTGTAGCAATGAAGTGTAACACATTGCTATAAGTACTACTCGACATATCTATTGAATTGGCATTAGTAATAAAACTAATTAAATTGGACGGATTTAATGGGTACTAATTTGTGTCGATCTTTAATTTTGTCAGCTTTTCTTTTCTTTTTGGTTTCTTTCTTTTTGTTTGTTTGTTTTTTTTTTTTTCCCTTTCTGTGATCTCCTGCTGATCTCTTGTCCTATGTACTGATTTCAAGATCAAGATCCATAAATAGATAAATGCACTTATAACATGTTAGCCATATAATGTTAGAAAAAACAGAGATAGGTGGGATTACTTACAGTAACATTGACACTAATACCCTGTGAAATAACTTGCTTAATTGAAGGGATGCAGGGAGCTGTAGCAGGAATTTTAATGTACACATTTGGGCGGTCGACCACTTTATGTAACCATTTTGCAGCCTCTACAGTCCCCTGAGTGTCATCAGCAAGTTCCGGTGAAACTTCAACAGAAACATATCCATCCGCAGCATTTGTTTCATCATAGATTGGCTCAAACAGCTTGCAGGCATCTTGAATGTCCTTCACCACAAGTTCCCAGTACGCATCTTCAATGCCTTTCCCGGATTGTACAAGCTCTCTGTGCAATTTCATTCATTAAAGCTATTATATTCTAATGAATTGCTGGTATCAAATTTCAAAAATCTTCCCCTCACCACCTAGAACCCAACAAAGTAAATAACATGATAAATTTATCCAAGTCTCGAGACAGTTTGGCAAAAACACAAACATTTCAAACGGACAATTGTTTTCTTTACATCAAAATAAACTAGCCCATCAAGGAAATAGGAATCATAAGCCAACAACTTAAGGGGAGTGGAGCAGCGATGGTCGTCGATTATAATACAAGTAATATCAATAATACCTGAACTGGTCATTGTAAGCATTAGAAGACGATATTGCTTTCTGGAAAATCTGCAAATTCATACATCAATATGGAGCAAAGTTAACGCAATTGAAACACATATATAGATGAAATAACCAGAAAATGGAAGTGCTCTTTTTCCCCCTATTCCCAGCTAAAAAAGAGAAGCCCCACAGTTAATTCTTTTATCCACATACTCCTGTTCAAGATTATTAATTTGGTTTTTTTTTTTTTTTTGGCAGCTAAAAAAGAGTACGTCGTTTCATTTGTTTGATCCTTGTCATACTTTCCAATAATCTTGTTTCACTTTGAATCAAGAAAATAAAAGAAAACATTTTGCATGCAATCAGTAGAAAACTTGAAAGAAAGAGAAGATATAATAAGTTTACCGCAGGGTTGCTAGTAACACCCCTGACGCCAGAGGCAATAAGAGGAAGAAGATCGGTGACTGGTCTGCAGAGGTTATCGTACCAAGGACTCTGTCCTTCCTTCTCGTATAGATCATGCAGAACCGTCCTCTTCGCTGGGCTTCCGTTTCCCGAACTCGAACATCTCACCCTAAAGCATTATATTATATAATAATACATAAAACATTTTTATTAATTAAAAAAAAATCATGAGATGCAGGAAATGAATTATTATTAATTCAAAAAATTTATGATTCATCACATCCACAAACAACAACAAGAGAAAGATGCAGAAAACTTACACTAAGGAAGCGTTGACTGAGGAGTTTCTGGGAAGCGAAAACTTCGAAGATGAAGAAGAAAGTTTGGTGTTGGAGGTGGAAATGGGTCTGAAACCGATCAACAAAGACGCAGGGTTACGGGAAGATCTCGGGGGTCTCAAGGTCGATGCTGAGAGAGAATATGATGAAGAAGAAGAACAAGTCGAGAGCTTGGAAATGGACGCCATGATCGCAGACAGAATAGAGAGAGAGAGAGAGAGAGAGAGAGAGAGAGAGAGAGAGAGGGGGAAGGGTTTGTTTCGGTTTGGTGCGGAGAAAAAAAGGCGAAGGCTTTTGACATCACTATTACCAGTACCCTGTCGTTTGGGTTTTTATTGCCTCTTGAGTTGTTGTAAGGTTTTTTTTTTTTTTTTTTTTTTTTTTTTTTTTTTTTTTTATTGGCAGAATACATTTTGTTGTAGGGAAAATGTCCTTTGTGTTATCATGAAATATGTTTTTACTTTTTGGTATTTTGTGTTTTTTTTAATAATTATCAAATAGGTAACTCGAGGTTTAGAAAATACTTTTAAGTTATTCTAAGGCAGTTTTTTAGAATATAAAATGACAAATTTGTTTTTATTATTAATTTCTCATTTAGTTGATTAGTTTGTAATTTCAACGAGCTTGTAATAATTTTCTATTTGGTTGATTAGCTTGTAATTTCACATTTAGTTAACTAAATGAGAAATTATTAATAATGAAAATTTTGTCACTTTATGTCTCAAAAAATTATCTCAAAATACTAAAAAAATCATTTTTAATATGTCAATGTACTTATTAATATTATAAAAAATACAGAAATCCTAAACGCATATTTTAAAATTTAATATAATACAGAGTATCAAAATAAAGATAAATTAAATATTTAATGTTTATAAAAAATTTATTCATTTAAATGATATTATTGAAAATTAAGACGTTTAGTTTATAGATTTAAAATCATGATTTAGAATCATTTTCAGTTTACGTGTATTTTTTATGAGAAAAAAAATACTATAACGAATCACAAATTATGATTCAAATCATAACACGAATTTACTAATTAAATACAATCATTATCTAAATGATATTTTATTCAAACTCTGGTGGCTTTTACATACTATGTTAAGAAAACAGGGGCTATCAAACTCTTTTTTGTTGTTATTTGTTTTATTCATATTAATTGTGTATTTTCAGAGGAAAAAAACAGTGCATGGTTAATAGCTTTACATCTCTCTCTGCGAGTTATTACTAGTTTTTTTTTCTTTGCTAAAGAACTTATTAGTTATTAATTTATTAATTTAACTTGTGTATTTCAAGATCAAAAAATAGTTTCCTTAAAAAAAAGAAAAAGAAAAAAAGAGGTAGGAGGCTATTTGATCGACCAGACTAGAAGTGGTAGGTGGTGATATTGACTCATTTGGAGCAAGGTGGGTATTTGGGGAAGTTTGGTGGCTTATTATTATTATTATTATTATTATTATTTTCTTTTCAATTTTCTCATATTCTTATTCTATTTTTTATGATAAATTTTATTTTTATCTCTAAATTATAATTATTCTGTCATTTTACCTTTTAAATTTTAAAAAGTGATATGCACACCTTTTAAACTTTAAAATGTTAACAAGAATACTCCTCATGTCACATTTATCTCTTATATACTGATGTAGCACTAAATTAAGGATTATAAACTTAGGGGTTGTTCTTTTGTAATGAAATTCAGAAAAGATTTGAACTCAAGTTAAAACTTTATTTTTAATTCATATTCTTTTATAAAATTTGAGTTTAAATTCGAGTTTGAGATTAAACTCGAGTTCAAATTTCTCTTTCAATTCGAGTTCATAAACTCAAACTTAAGTTAATGAACAATATTTTTTCTATTCTTAAAAATATCATAACTTTTTCGTTTTAATTTTAATTGAGATGATTTTTTTTATGCATTCATAACGAAAAGATTAATAAAACCTCACTCATATACCTTATTAAAAATTTTCATCACCATTAAGTTTTTATTAAAATACTATTTAAATATAAATTTAAGTTTTGACCCACCTAAACACAAACTCAAAAAAATTCTTAATTCAAATCATAACTCAAATGTGCACATCCAAACACAAACTCAAGTTACAACTTCAACTCAAATTATAATTCAAACTCAATTAAAAAAAAAACCCATTTTTTACCCTTCCGTCGTCACCACAATTTCCATTCCACCGTCGCCAACTTGCTCCCTCCCCCACCACCGACGGCCCACCCCCACCCCCCGCACGACCGCCTAACCTTTGCGAAGAAAACTAGAGCTCGGGGCTAGGACGACATCACACCAAGCGGAAAAATGGGTTGCGAATCGCGCCAGAAATAGGTGCGTGGGGAGCTATGCTCGTTGAATCTGGGAACTGAATGGCTCGGCCGGATCTGTGCGTGGTGAAGTTGGGCTAGTTGGATTCAGGCGTGTTTGCATTAGAAGAGAAGATAATAAAGAGGAAATTGTTCTTATCTTTTTGAATATAAGTTTAAATCTGAGTACAGGATTTGTGCTTGTTGATATCTGATGTTTAGGTTGAATTTGTGAGTATTTCTTTGTCATTTTGACATCTCATTCAGGGTCGTTGAGTTCACTTATTTAAATTTTTAATTTGAGCTGAGATATAATTTTATGTAAAAATTTTTTATTTTAATAAAAAATTAGATGTAAAATTTTTTATTATAATAAATTTAAATTTTAAAATTTAAATTAATAAAATAAACGAAGTTTAAATATTTTAAATCTGAGTATAAATTATTTATCGTGCTTTTTTTAGTTCAAGGAGATTTCTTTTTAATTATAATTTCTCTAATAATTAAAATTATAAACTTAACTAAATTTATAGTCTCTAATTTAGTGTCACATTAGCATTTAATGTCAAATGCGACGAAAAAAGCATTTTTATTAACATTTTATAGTTTGAAGAGTATTTTTTAAAATTTTAAAATTAAAGTGACATAGTGATCATAGTTATGGGTAAAAATAAAATTGATCTATTTTTTTTATTTTTGATACCATCTGCTGTCCTCTCTGGTAAGGCAGAGTTTGGTTTTTTGGGGGTGATAGTGGAAAAGTTGACAGATAAGTCACCCTTACTGCCACTCTACAGAACGGTACATGAGATTTTCATCTCATACGGCTCCTCGTTCAATTCTTTTGAAGTCATTGGATCCTTTTCCTCGTTCGAGAACCTTTTCCCTTCTTCCACTCCGTTCCGAAGAGTAACTAGGACCAATTCAGTCACGTTTTCATTCATTTGGAATCTGGGCTCTTCTACTTCTTTATTTACTTTACTTATTTTTTTTATTACTTTTCCCTCTCTTTTCTTTTTTGATTTCTTTTTTGATTTTCTTCCTTTCCATCATTCCTTAAGTGCCAACAGAAATAGATAATTGAGGGCTTGTTATTCAACAGTATAACATGACTTATATCCCCATGTCAACCAGTCTCAACATCCAGAGAGATATCATAGATAAGATAAAGAATAAAGAAGAGCTTGTCTTTATTCTTTATCTTATCTATGTAGATTTATTCATTTTTTTGAAAAAATGAAATGAGTTAATAAGTTTGAATTTATATACATATGATTTTGATATATTAATTATAATGGGATAATGGGTTGCCCGGGACTCGAACCCAGAACTAGTCGGATGGAGTAGATAATTTACTTGTTAGAAAATAAAAAAAAAGGTAAAAATCTCTCCCCAAGCCGTGCTTGCATTTTTCATTGCACACGGCTTTCCCTATGTATACATCTAAAAAAAATTCAGTTCCTTCCCTAGATAGGACTTTGAATACTCAGTTGATCAACCCTTACTCCATAAACATTTCATAATAGAAAAAAAAAATGAAATTTTTTGTTATCTTTTTTTTGTTATCATTTAAGGATAATTTCCATTTCCATAGTTGCATAACCAATCATTTATGATTGACAAGATCGTTGATGCAAAAAATATCCAAATACCAAATTCGACCTTTATATGACATCCTATTAACTCCTAATATGGTAATCTAATAATATTATTAAACCATAAAAATAATATATATTAGTTTTTCGGTGTGAAAACAAAAAAAGTTTGTGACGCTGAAATGGGTCTCCTGATATATCAGATAAAATAAGAAATACCCTTTATCTCATACTACTCTTTTGATACATAATGGAATGGAACGATTTTGAAAAAAAAAAAATTCTCGTATCGAATTCGAAGTGCCATGCTATTATTACTTAATATTCATATATCGCGAAGGCATAGTTTTCTTTTTTCTCTCAAATCAAATAAAAAATTCATTGGCGCCAAGCGTGAGGGAATGCTAGACGTTTGGTAATTTCTCCTCCGACCAGAATAAAAGATCCCATTGAAGCGGCTAATCCCATGCATATTGTTTGTACGTCTGGTTGCACAAATTGCATAGTATCATAAATACCTAATCCAGGTATTACCCATCCGCCAGGAGAGTTTATAAACAAATAGAGATCCTTAGTATCATCCTCTATACTGAGAAATACCATAAGACCAATAAGTTGATTCGAGATCTCGCTATCAACCTCTTGGCCTAAAAAAAGTAATCTTTCTCGATAAAGTCGGTTGATTAGGATAAAATTGTATCCCTTCGGAACCGTACATGCATCTTTTGATGCATACAGTTCAACACAAAACGCGAAAAAAACAAAAATCAATGTGTAGATTTTTTTTTTTTTTTTCTTTTGTCATAGCAAGCTCTGTCTAACTTGTAACAAAGGGGCTTTTTCTTTCATTTAAAAAAAGATGAGTTTTGGCCTTTTTCTATTTATATATAAATAGAATTTCTATATATAAATGGAAATAAAAAAATTCACTAAACTTATCGGAGTAACTTCTCATTGATGTATTGTTTAATCGGAATCCAATCCAAATCACGATGTAATTTTCTTGTTCCTGAATGGTCTTCTTGAATTCTTTTAGGTTTATGCTCTACTCCGAGTAAAGATCGGACCGATTTTTATTTGCATATATAAGACAAATGATCCAATACTACGTCTTTTTGCTACGACTTCTTTATTTTTCAATTAATTTCATATCTCCCGCCAAATATTAAATATTCAATGCATTCATCATATTACTCGATTTATTAACAGTTTTAGATCACTTCTATTTCTATTATATTAGAGATTATAAAAGAGATTATAAATCGAATATTATATAAATAAATTATAAATAGAATATGATATTAAGTAGAAATCATAGATATATTACCTATTGGTTTTTTTTTCTAAACGGAGCCTGGATACTTCATTTTATTATTTGAACTAAGCCAACCATAAATTATTCTAATTGCTAATATTAATCTGTATACCCCCCTAAAAATAGATTTAATTGTACTTCATTGCATTTCACGCTCCAAATTTTGTATGATTCAATCAATCTTTGTTGGGCGAAAGAGAGGATATCTCAATCGGGAAAGAGAACGGGGAAATACCATATGACCCAATATATCTGACAAGTCGCACTATACGTCAACCCACGATGCATCTTCGTCTCCAGGACTTCGAAAAGGTACTTTTGGAACACCAATAGGCATTAAATGAAAGAAAGATTAAGTACTATATCTCACTTTGATGTGAAAGCGTAAAAATAGGTTTATTGTCTTAATAATATCTTATCTTTTATCATATTTTATCCATAGATTGAATAAGTTCATAAAAAAGGAAGACAGAATCAATAAAATAAAATTCTTACAAGTGGATCCTTTGGATGATGAACAAATATAGATGCAGTTACTCATATAAAATGCTATCAACGACCTACCATTGCGTATTGGTACTTATCGGGTGTAGAATAAATCTGCTTCTTTTTGTTCCTACGAACAAAATTGTTCCATTATTATTGAAAGACTTTCTTACTAAAAGAATAGAACAAATAGTAATCCTTTCCCCGAGATAATCCACTAAAAAAGTAAGAACCATAGTATATTTTACAATGCAATAAAGTTACATAGCGTATATTTTTGATTGATAAAGGGGTATTTCCATGGGTTTGCCTTGGTATCGTGTTCATACGGTCGTATTGAACGATCCCGGTCGTTTGATTTCTGTCCATATAATGCATACAGCTCTGGTTGCTGGTTGGGCCGGTTCGATGGCTCTATATGAATTAGCTGTTTTTGATCCCTCTGACCCTGTTCTTGATCCAATGTGGAGACAGGGTATGTTCGTTATACCCTTCATGACTCGTTTAGGAATAACCAATTCATGGGGGGGTTGGAGTATTACCGGGGGGACTATAACGAATCCGGGTATTTGGAGTTACGAAGGTGTGGCTGGGGGGCATATTGTGTTTTCTGGCTTGTGCTTTTTGGCAGCTATCTGGCATTGGGTGTATTGGGATCTAGAAATATTTTGTGATGAACGTACAGGCAAACCCTCTTTGGATTTGCCCAAGATCTTTGGAATTCATTTATTTCTCTCAGGAGTGGCGTGCTTTGGTTTTGGCGCATTTCATGTAACAGGATTGTATGGTCCTGGAATATGGGTATCCGATCCTTATGGACTAACGGGAAGGGTACAAGCTGTAAATCCAGCATGGGGTGTGGAAGGTTTTGATCCTTTTGTTCCAGGAGGAATAGCCTCTCATCATATTACAGCAGGAACCTTGGGCATATTGGCGGGTCTATTCCATCTTAGTGTCTGTCCGCCCCAACGTCTATACAAAGGATTACGTATGGGAAATATTGAAACCGTCCTTTCCAGTAGTATCGCTGCGGTCTTTTTTGCAGCTTTTGTAGTTGCTGGAACTATGTGGTATGGCTCGGCAACTACCCCCATTGAATTATTTGGTCCCACCCGTTATCAATGGGATCAAGGATACTTCCAACAAGAAATATATCGAAGAGTTAGTGCTGGGCTAGCCGAAAATAAAAGTTTATCTGAAGCTTGGTCTAAAATTCCTGAAAAATTAGCCTTTTATGATTACATTGGCAATAATCCGGCAAAAGGGGGATTATTTAGAGCGGGCTCAATGGACAACGGGGATGGAATAGCTGTTGGTTGGTTAGGACACCCGATCTTTAGAGATAAAGAAGGGCGTGAACTTTATGTACGTCGTATGCCTACTTTTTTTGAAACATTTCCGGTTGTTTTGGTAGACGGAGACGGAATTGTTAGAGCCGATGTCCCTTTTAGAAGGGCAGAATCGAAATATAGTGTCGAACAAGTAGGTGTAACTGTTGAGTTCTATGGCGGTGAACTCAATGGAGTCAGTTATAGTGATCCAGCTACTGTGAAAAAATATGCTAGACGTGCTCAATTGGGTGAAATTTTTGAATTAGATCGTGCGACTTTGAAATCCGATGGTGTTTTTCGTAGCAGTCCGAGGGGTTGGTTTACTTTTGGACATGCTTCGTTTGCTCTGCTCTTCTTCTTTGGACACATTTGGCATGGTGCTAGAACCCTGTTCAGGGATGTTTTTGCTGGTATTGACCCGGATTTGGATGCTCAAGTGGAATTTGGAGCATTCCAAAAACTTGGAGATCCAACTACAAGAAGACAAGTAGTCTGATACAATATTGTTTTGTTATTTTTTGTCTTTAGTTTTGTGATTTAATATAGGCTACCGGATAAATCTTGATTTCAATCGCTGTCTTTTCTTTGACTCTTGCCTTGTTCTTTCTTTTCTTTATCCGGGAGACGATCTCAAATGAACAGGTATGGAAGCTATAATTGTAAACCACGATCAAATCTATGGAAGCATTGGTTTA